CCTTTTCTCTCGTATTCAAGTCTCTGCGTAGATTTAGCCTGGAGTTAAATTAAAATGCTTAGGAACCAAACCTAGCGTTCAATTAGAAAATTTATCACTTACCAAGCACAAAAATTATAAAGAACAAGTGAACACTTATTAATGATAATTAATTATATTACAAGGGAAGATCAGTAAATTCTAAGATTAAGACACATTCGATTTGAATACAGAGAACAATTCTGAATAGATTAACTGGGAAAGTCACTACTTCGCAGATGTTTATAGTCGAAAACTCTTTATGATCCAGTTCACTTGACTTTCTGGATAAATTTGGATAATTATTTAAATGAGAATACATGTTCCAAGTTGACCGTGCATTCGAAAATAGGGCTATTGTCTAACTCAGATTAACTGAAAGATAGTCATTTAGTTTATTGGTCAGAATCGTATTTAGAAAGTCCGTTCACTGTGTGGTCAAGATATTTTCTTCCAATATGTGAAACTTTACACCAAAATTTAGGTACTTTTGACGCCGTACTTAACAATTTTCTATTTTCTTTAGTTTCACTTAATGGATTGCCTTTGACTGTAGAACTATTGAATCACTATAAATCAGTAGATAGCTGTTTCGCCCCAGTAAAGGATCACTCACCAGGGAAAAAGATAACCCATCCAAGAATCGAAGAAAGGACGTACACATTGAGAGGTGATCGAGATACCTTTGAACCAACCAGTTGGTATACAATAATTCATATTTCTGAATCCATTCATTGAGTGTTAGGTGATGGGAATTAGTCATAAGAAACTCTGAACCTTGGTTTCAAGCTCGTTGATATTCGTAATCTGTAATTTTGAGTTCCGATATGTCCTCTGCCCCAGCTCACGCCTCATAGTTTGAAACGTTACCAGTGGGTTATTTGGGTCACGATTAACCTTCCGTACGATTGTGATATTCCCAGTTGATTAACATTTGAGTCATGATTTATTGTCATGTTTATTCATTCCTTTAGTCAAGCAGTCATTTCGTAATATTATGTGATAATCACTCATTGTTATTGGCGTTGACTACCTAATGAGCACTTTTAGGAGAATTTATTTAAAAATTCTTACGAACTTGGTTGATAACACAATTTTTCTAGCTTATTAATTTTATCGTCAACTGATTCTCAATAATTTACTTATCAGGTTAACATTGTTTGAAAAGTAAAATTCCAAGTTTTCTATCGAAGCGTTATGAATCCTTATAAACATTGAATATACACATAAACATTACGATCACGGTTGATATAATTGTAAATTCATGTTTTGGCAAAATACATATCATAGTAATGAGTAGTTGAACGAAGTACAATTGAGTACCTTAAAACAATCGCTTTTCTCTGTAAAAATTAAAAAAAATCCATGCGAATTTCTTATTCATGAAAAGAATCAATTCATTCAGCTAATCAAAAACATGTTACGAAACTGTTAGATATGACACATTTCATCACGTGATCGATAGTCAATAACGACGGCTACTCTCTGCTGCTCTAATTCCAGAAGTAATTATACCTATATAAAGGCGAAGTCTAGGGCAAACAGGTAAATGACAAGTATCGATAGTTATAAATCAGTCATTTAATTCAATTAAATGGTAGACAAATATTTAGGTTGCTTTATTCGATACCTTCCCTTTGTAAAGATGGAGGCATACGCACAGTATGTACATATGCCAATAAGGGAGTGATCAATTTCAGTCCTAAAACATCAATGGGAAGATTCAAGTAAAACAATATCAAGTGAATTAACATTCAGGATTAATAAGCGAATAAGTGACAAGGTCGAAATGTAGCTTGAGAAGAATGAATAAATTGGTGTGTCCAGAAGCTAGAATAACCTATGTGGGCTTAATATAGTACCAGCCACTACACGATAATATCAATCGGAATCACGAACTTAACTAAGTTACAAAATCATTAATAACACCAAGGTATCGGATAGCTGTTTTCTTCAGTAGTGTGCTTTTATGAGCACTCCACAGAGGATCGAAGCCAGGACATTCAAGCTCGCCTCAGGTAAAATTTTCCTTGATAATCCCCACAACCCTCAAATAGTAATGGTATTAATCATTACAATGTGGATTAAATTTTTCGGTTGACATGTAGATTAAAAAAAAAGTCACGGGAGAATTAAAGATCCAGTGAAAATATTAATGTTACCAAACAAATGATGACAGTACAAAGAAAAAATCACTTTTCAGAATATCATACACTAAACTTGTAAAAACGTAATTGCAGTTAAATTTACATATGATGGTCTACTAATAAAATAGGAGGTTGCGCAAATAAACAAAAACATTAAATATTAAAGATAAGATATGTAAGTCATAGAAATAAACAGTAATAACCTATTGAAAATTTCGATAATTTCAATGGTTGAACTCATGAGTCAATTGAACCTAGGCTACCATGGGAAACCTCGAAGCACTGGACGACCGTTTCGTCATAGTGTGGGACTACTCAGCAGTGCGCACCCACGACCCCGCACCCCACGGGGTTCGAACCCAGGACCTATCAGTCTCGCGCGCCGGCGCCTAACCACCAGACCACTGAGCCAGCATCCAACGGTATTAATTTCTAACCTCAACTAATCCACGAAATTGCGCCACCGTACACCATTGTCCTCAGTGAGCTAATATCTCACAACAGACCTGGTTGAACTCCACTGGTCACGGCTCCTCACTAGAACTCCAGGAAATGCCTCTTAAAGTCAGTCAATAGTGAGCAGAAGATTATTATCAGAAGGGGTTTTGTGGAGATAATTGTTTACTTTACGAATATAGAAGACAAAGCACAGAGTAATAATTGACACTAACAAATAAATCTCTGTGTACAAAAGAGTCATGTCTATTTGCTTATTATATTATGACCACAGTCATTATTACTAATCGCTGTCTTATCCTTCATCTTCTATACTCAGAGTAGACAATTATCTTTTGCGTTCTTTTCTAAAAACTCCATAACAGTGTTAACACCGTTAAATGGAGACTCAGTAGTCTTGAGGTTAAGCGTTCAACCCAATACCAAAAAATTTGGGTTCTGTTTCAGTGAAATTCAACAATCTCCATAAATCCTTACTAATTACATTTGAAAAATTTAGATGAAATGTAGAATGATGTAACATCTCTTTTTTATTATAAACAATATTTAGAACTTTTAGTGGTTTATTGTGTTTTATGAGTTAGATTATTGAATTGTAAAAATTCCGTTGTCATTCTAGGAAACAACAGCCTCTACTTGCATATGCAGTTCCATAAATAAATCATTTAGCTCGAAGGACACAACACTACCAAAAACATCCAGCAGAGATGTAAATATTCTTCATCATTTATAAATTAACTACAAGTATAACTCTACAGATCAAATAAATAAAGTCGTCTAAAAGTTTATGTAGTGAATTCTTAAGGCTATGATGACTGACAGATTGATAAGACTTTTTAGACGCATAAATTTGATTGATATCTTTTATTAGGAAGGACTTCAGTTATATGCAGATGATTTTGTTTAAAAAGACAATGAAAGTTTCAAGATAAAACCAATTAGCTAACAAAAGATAATTCATTACAGAGGAAACTTGACGCTAGTATGTGTGATATGACTTAACTTTCTTTGACATTGTCGACTCAATTAAAAATATCAATGTAAATGGTAGGAAAATATTCTCATTAGATGTCACTTCTCTCTTTACAAATGGTCCTCTCACAGAAACTACTATGCTTTCAAAATCGCTGAATAAAACATTTTACTCAGCTAAGCTCCGAACTGTTTTCTCAAACCGGCCTACCATTCACGGATGTGTTAAGGATAAACTTCCACTTTAGGCCATATCAATGTGCATCTATAAAATTACTTATGTGGGGCATGTTATATTAACCGCACAAAGGGATCACTTTCCAAACGCATTTCAGGCTTTTAAAAGGAGAATGCTAAACAATTACCAGTTCAATAAGGAACATTTAATCAACTTTGGACACCGGTTCAAAATAGTCTTCTTTGAAGGTAATCTATACAGTCAAAGGGATTGGATCGAAAGGAAGTCGAACCAAAATCATATGAACTGGTGATGCATTAGCAACCCATCAACTCAAGCCCGAACTTAGTGTGCAAAAACGATTCGTTCAACTTCTCATCTTTCCTTAGCCCTAATTCCCTTTAGTAGTATGTTTCGTTTTTTTCTTCCCTTTTTATTTTATTATTATTGATTTTTTAAATTAGTGTTTTGTAATTCTAAACTGCACTCAGTTATTATTATTACTACCACCTTACGCAGGTTTTCTTGGTTATTACTATTCACAGATTGAAATCATGAGTCAATTGAAGCTAGACCACCATGGAAAACCTGGACGGCCGTTTCGTCCTAGTATGGGACTCCTCTAGTGGGAAGCTGTTACCAGTGGAGTTCAACCAGGTCTGTTGTGAGATAGAAACTCACTGAAGAAAATGGTATACGGTGGCGCAATTCCGTGGATTGGTTGGAGTTCGACATTAACACCGTAGGATGCCGGCTCAGTGGTTCAATGTTTAAGTGCTCGCCCGCGAAACCGGTAGGTCCTGGGTTGGAATCCCGCGGGGTGCGGGTCGTGGGTGTGCACTGCTGAGGAGTCCCATACTAGGACGGAACAACCGTCCAGTGCTTTGGGTTTCTTCATGGTGGTGTAGCTTCAACTGACTCATGATTTAAATCTGTGAAATTTCTAAAATCTCCACAAACTCCTTCTGATATTACTATTCAGTTTTTTATTATTATGACCTTTATGTTTGTCATTTTTTCTTCATATCTGTCAATTGAACAATTATCTGACCCGTAAATCATTTTCATCCTTATATTCTTTTCTTACGCCTTGATTATTGCGTAACCTTATTTAATAATAAGAATCTCGAATCAATTTATGATGAAATAGACTTATGTATATTTCATATAACTATAAATACGAATATACAGTTTACGGAAATGATTTCGTCGAAAAGAAAATTATCTTTGCTGAATTCTCTTTATTTTTATTCAATGGATTATTTTAATTATCTAAGTAGTAGTATATCACAGTTTCAAATGACGCTATTCATCAGTTATATCAACATGAGAAATATTGTATCAATGTTGTATATTATTATTAAAAATTGATTCTAATATGAATAATGATTATGAAACACATAGACTGCTTCTTATTTTATTATCTTATCATATGCCAGTTTTGTAAACAACAAATAGTAATGTGTTAACCACTAACACAAAAAAGAGTAACAAAATAGTACATGAATATCAGGAGATAAATTTATACATAAACACACACACATATATATATACGCTCTTTTACAACTTAAACAGATATAAGTAGTAACAAAATAATAAACATACATTGTGGACAATGAATAATGAAGAACAAAAAAAAAAGTAAAACCAAACAAGAAAACATACTTTTGAGGTCAGTTGTAAAAAGCTGGAGATAATAAAATAACAACGCCATTAATAATACTAATGAGAATAGAGTAAATGTAATATGATATGAAGAGTATTGGCTGACAAAACGCATATGTATGTGTATGTGTGTCTTCATATGCTTGAAGGGTCTTATTGTGTTTGTTATTAATAATAATAAATAGTAGGGAAGATCGTATTATTATTATTATCATTAAAAATAAAGTAACGTCTATGTTGAGACTTAAACGGAATTGCTTTAAGTAAAAATACACATATAATAGGCAAACAAATAACCTGTATTTGTTCTTCATAAACACGGAATAATAATAATAATAACATTGAAAAAAAAGAAAAGAAAATATGATTCATCAGCCGATGATATCGGCTGATCTTTACTTTTCCTCTATTATTACCAAGTACATTAGTGAATATTTGACGAACATTTATTTAAAAAATTTTTTTTCTAAATCCATATCATATTATCATTAGTATATATCCCTATAGTTCTCCTGGTTTACCACATAATAAAGGAATGCCAATAATTAAAACCAATGGTCCAATATGTCCAATAAAGTGCATTTGTCTGAAGAATTAAAAAAAAGAATAGTAGAGAAAAGAGAAGAGAAGAAACATTAGTAGTGTATACTCTACGATTATTAATATCTAATTAATGTACTAATAGAATAGAATCACTTTTATATTATGAAAATTATACAACATTAGTGATAAATAATAACAATATTGAAACAAATGCTTAATCGTTTGATTTATCGAATGTTAAAGATCGAAATCCGGAAGTAAATCAAGTGATTGTGTTATGTCCCGATAAGCATAATGAATGGTAACTTTTGAGATCCATTTATGGACTAATACTATACGTATATTTTTATCGTATAATTGTTAATTAACTAAACTATTCATATTCATGTCCCTCTTATTATGAGCTTTATTTTAACCTATGAACTATTATCATACGATTTAGCATTCTCGAATTATGCCCTGTCTATTAACTACTACCTCCCACATTCACAGCCACATTTGGCTAAATCTTGTGCAAATGTTATTTCCCATTTTATGGTACGATGTGGTCTATCTGGTTGGTATATAAATACAGTATGCTTGAAATAACTGGCTGGGCTAGGCAGGAAGCAGGATCGATAAGGACTCTAGACTGCTCGCACGGGTTTTACGCATCATTGGTCCGATAGATAATTCACTGCTCTCTAATTAGCAGTATTGTTACGTTATACATTAACAGGACACACAGGCCACCAGTTATAACAACTTGAGCTGGTGAATTGCCAATGCCTCAGTAGTACATAAAACATTGATTCGACATCCTTTTGATCCAATTCATTTGACTGTATAGATTATCTTCAAAAAAGACTCCTTTGGAGCGATGTGTCCACAGTTGATTAAATGCTTCTGTATAGAACTAGTAAAGCCAGATAGTGTTCTCAGATAGGTTTGGAAAGTGATCACTTTGTGCAACCAATGTAATCTGACCCGTTAATTATTTTCATCCTTGTATTTCCTTCCATACCCCTTAATTATTGCGTAACCTCAGTTGATAATAAGAGTCTCGAATCATGAGCATAAATAATTATTCAGTGTTTATTTGAATATACATGAATACTTGAACTTTATGTACTAACAAAACTCCCACTCCACTTTTAATCTTTTCAGTCACATACCAGGTCACAGTTACGTATAGGAAGTAAGTATATAGGAATCTAATGGCGGAACAAAATAAAAATCTCCACTTGAGCTAGGAAATGCTCAACATTTCAAAATCGAATGAATTAATACATCAACTGCATATAACAATACGTGGTAAAATTACAAATGAAATTTCAACGACAATAACAATATCGACTTTTATCTATATATACATAATTTAACTAACCTCCAAAAATGCAAAACTTTATCAGTAGTCAATAGAAGAAATGGTATGCCCAAATAATTTAAGCATAACATAGCGCCTAAATTAGTTAGTACATTATAGAAACAATGTAATCCGGATGAACGAAGAAAATACGGCCGGAGATGTTTTCGACAAACTCTACATAAATTTTATTTTCAAAAAGAAAACACAATACATTTTGGTTTAAATGGTCAATTTATGAAATAATTTGGAAGTTAGAAAATTTTGTAATGTCAATTAGTTCGTTGAATGGAATTTTACCTGAATATTATAAATCAGTAATAAGTAAATATTCTGGTAGAAGATCAACCACTGAAAAGCCAGAGGGTAAAAGTTGTTTCGTGTTAGAATTTAAGAAAGGTCAAGGTATAAGAGAAAGCAGTGGCAGATAACACATGCGTTACTGTGTTCGCATAGCACAACCATTAGAGTGAAGTAATATTCAAACTGTGTATTACTTTGGAAACTTAGTTATGAGTAATATCCTAATGAATAGGCAAGGAAGATAATGATTGGTTGTTTGCTTCATCAGATTAACAGGTAGTCTGGCAGGTGTTAGATAAGTCATATATTCATCTACCCATATTATTATTGTGATTGTTGTCGGGTTTTGGTGTGGAAATATACTTACGTTCTAGTCAGGCTAATCACGTGCTTTGACCTGAGTTGTGTTGACGTCCTGTAGAATAGACACTGGGAGTGCATTTAGTGCAGATATTGATCCAGGGCAAATTGGCGCCCCATTTTTGTAGACGGGTAACTGAGCGTTATGACACACTCAGTGTGACAGGAATGTACGATACTATTAGGTCAAACTTGTTGAACAACTTGGGATGAGTTTGAATCTGAAGTTGCATGATTCGATATTATATTAACAAAACCTATATCTTACTGAACTAAGACGTAACCATTACTTTGAAGCCCCTATCCGCAGCTATTCACCTCAGCAACAGCTCAATTTGAAATAAAAAAGTTGGAGACCCTACTAACGAACAAAACATGCCATAGCGAATATATCGAACACAATATTCATAAATGACTATAGATTATTGGTTGCCTAAACAGCATGACCACAATGTTTCGAATTGATAGACCAAAAAGAAAGAATACATGTTTGAAGGTATTCTATATTTAAGTACAAAGAAATAATTGATGAGTATAACTTTTTTTGATGCTTTGGTGGAAATCCGTTGAATATACAATTCTTTATTGGGTGTATTATGTTTGTTCAGTCCAGATTACTTAATAATACAACAAACTAGAAGAATAGCCAATGTAGTTATTTTGTGAATATTTTTTTCTGTTACAGCCAAATCGATTCACAATCATGTAATTTTTGTTGAATGCATGATCGTATTTTTATGTTATTGATTCATTCCCCTCCATTCAGTTAACTGACAAATGTTATAATTTTCTAGGATCTATTTGGTCAGCAAATGCAATATAGTTTTATGAGTAAACTATTTATTCGATTTACCATAGAATTTAAGTCAGTCAATCACAAAATAGAACTTGTAGGTATGTACATCGGTTCATGTTGCCACACCCGTTAGCACACCGAGATGAAATTGTCAAACCAAATCACAGAATAGTAGACATACTAACAGTATCAGTAGTAATAGAAAACATTAGGCATTGAATACACAACTTGAAAAAAAGTATACATATTAGTGAAATAAAAATTTTAAAAATTATGAGGAATTTACAATCTTAGACATTTATGACCAAACACCAGTAACATCCGAATATCTTCTATTTTTAATGGTCATGTTTTACACTCAAAAATTAGGACGGAGCGAACTGACAGATATCTCGCTTACACCCCAAGTGACGCAAGTTGGCAAAAACCAATTGAGTCTACTGAATTCGTGCTGAGATTTCGTCAGACACCAGACTTTCACGACTGATGAGACCACCGAGATCAGTAAAGCGTTCAACTACTTAACACCTTATCACTAATTCAGGCGATGAAGTAAACCACTCCCGAAGTAGCATTTTACATTTGCAGAGAGATGCACCCCAATCATGCTTGGATTGTTGTTTAAGGTTTGAATTTTGTCAGCGTCTTCACGAAACAGAATTATATCATCTGCGAATTCCAGGTCAGAAAGTGAATCTCCTGGTAGAAGATCAAGCCCTGAAAAGTCAGACGATGAAAGTGTTATCACTAAAAGCATGTCTATGACAGTGTTAAATAAAAATGGAGAAAGAGGGTAACCTTGAAGAACACCACTTGATGTAACCAATTTTGATGACAGTTCGACACTAAGCTCTGACTCGACCAGTAGTTTGAGTAGGGTGTCTGTGCAACGTTAATGTAATTCTTTGGTACACCTTTCAATGACAGATACTGCCATAGAACCTCATGATCAACGGAGTCGAACACAACATTTAGGTCAAGGATTACAGCTATAATTGGACGTCGAAAAGTATTTGTGTTCCAGAATCTGTCGAAGGGTGTATAGTTGGTCTATACATATACTTCCAGGTCTGAAACCAACCTGGATCTCTCGAGCTTGCTCTTCAAGAGCTCTAGTTAGATATCGAAGCATTATTAAGGTTAACATTTTTGACTCTATATTACTTAAACTGATTTCTCTGTGACTGTCACAAAGTGAGTTTTGTCCTTTCTTATAAACTGGAGCAATCAGCAACCACTGAGACCAGTCAGATGGGGGTGTGTATGTCTAGTCCCCAGATTCAGGCAAAATTTCAGTAAATTTAACTACTAAAACTGGATTACCATGCTTAAAAATTTCAACGATTAGTCTATTAAGCCCTGTTTTGCTTGAGATTATTGATAGCTTTTTCAACTGTACATAGTTGAAAGACTTACATCATAGAACAAACAATACGCTCACAATCTAAAAATACAGATTATATGAACTTATATTGTTAAGATAGGTACATGTATATTGTAATATGAAAAATAAGTGTTACATAATTTCGTATAATATCTTAATTATATATATATATATAATTAATAAAGAGAGAATAGAAGTTCATTAAAAAATCAATAAATAAATAAAAATTACTAATTTTTTTTTTAAAAAAAAATCATGATAATCACTATGCTGGTAATACCAAAGATAATTTACACTAAACAGAAAATATTTCTCATTATAGGTTATCATTATCACGTGATGTTTATTCTTTCTCCTTCTTTTTAAAAAAAAATTTAATCAATGAATGACCTTATAAGAGAAATCACTCGATAAAAAAATAGAAGAGAATAACCATTAGAAAATAAAGGATAAATAAAAGAGGAAACAAACTAGATAAAACTTTAAGCATATATACACAACTGTAGATTGAATCTGTCATAGATTGATTTCGATTGTGAGGTACTATTGAAAATTATATAATACTAGAAAGCTATTTCATCTTAGTGAAAAACGTCTTAGCAGAATGCATCTATGATTCGACCGTGGATCGAATTCAGGATCTGATGACAAACATGTAACCAGTAAAACCAATGGATCAGTGTCTAATTGTAACTTCGATCTTTTCACGGATATAATGCACCAATCATCTAATGTCATTGATGGCAACTGTTTCACATCCAATATTTTCCAAAACTAAAAATCACGACTTCTTATAATGTTTCTCCACACCAACCTTATAAAGTGATTAAAGTTGGAAACGTGAAACAGTGGATTTTAATTTGGCAGTTCAGAAGTTAAGTACTAACAGCTAGATCTGAAAGTTTAGAGTTTGGATTATGAACGTAATTCAAGATACTCATACTAGGACGAAACAGCCATGTATACCACTACATGGTTTCGGATAGTATCCGAACTGAAGTAAATCCGTGATGAATATATATGACTATTAAAATCAGCTAATTTTTTAAAAACCAAATCACAAATGATGTGGACAGGGAAACAAGAAACCCTGACAAATTACGAAAGCTATTTTTCGGGACGTTATTTCATTTTATTCAAAGCTTGTAAAATACTGACATTTATTTTTGTCCCTGTTTTATTCTACAGAACATGAGCTTTCGTTCGGTGTATCATTCATCGTCATACCCCTTTTGTTCCGAAGTTATTATAATCTAAACAATATTTTGCACCTTATTTTCTATCCTAATTCCGAGTTTTGGACATAATTGTATTTTCACAGATTGAAATCATGAATCAGTTGAAGCTAGACCACCATGAAAAGCCTGGACGACCATTTCGTCCTAGTATGGGGCTCCTCACCAGTGCGCCTCCACGGTCCCGCGGGATCCGGACCCAGGACCTACTGGTTTCGCGCGCGAGCACCTAACCATTAGACCACTGAGACGGCATCCGACGGTGTTAATGTCTAACTTCAACCAATCCACGAAGTTGCACCACCGTATACCATTGTCTTCAGTGAGCTAATATCTCACGACAGACCTGGTTGAACTCCACTGGTAACGGCTTCCCACTAGAACTCTAGGAGTATCTCTTGAAGTCAGTCACTAGTGAGCAGATGATTATTATCTCCACAAACCCCTTCTGATAATAATTGTATTTTTCCAAATTATTGTACGTTGTGGTCAGGTAAATCACCTATTTATTCATGTACCTTTCTGCACCAATCTGAATTCGGAGATTTCACAGGAAATCAGGATATCGCAATACAGCCAATAGGGTTCCAACTGTCTTGTCTTCTCTCATTCGCGTGCTTGCCAGCCAATCTGGTGCTAGAATGGTTCTCCTCTCTCTACCCCACCTCGAACTCACGCGTACTAGCCTCAAGGTTAAACCGATCGGCCTATTGCGTCAAGGTCCTAATCTAGAGTAGACAGATCAAGGTCATAACAACAAGTAAGAGGGAAAAATCAATTATCATAAATTTAATGCGACGACGAACTGATCTCAGTTGAACAACTATCGGAAACCAGGAAGCACTGGGCAGTTGTTTCGACTTTGTATGGGACTCCTCGTCAGCGCACATCCACGACCCCACTGATATCGTCAATTGAAAAATAACGTCTTAACTAATTCATTACTGCAACAGCGAACATGACCAGTCAAACATTACTATACAGTCACTCGGTCTTTAAAGAAGTTACAAACGTGATTCAGAATAAGTATTCATATATCAGATCAACACATCCAGAGGTGAATTGCAAAATATAACGCGAACAAATAGAAACGGGAAACTAAACATGAAGATCACAGTTCAAAAAGCACAAATGGAAATTAGGAGTGATAGGCGTGAAATAATATTATGACACACGATCTCGAGGGAACTAAAGGATGAGCTCATTTAAGGTACTGAGACTGGTATTATCGAATAAAAGAAAGTGACTGAGATGACAGGATAACTATAACAAAAGTCTACAAAGTTTGAAATGTCAGTTACTAATGTAGGAACTGAAACGAATACGCATCGGTTTGGGTTTCTACATCTTATATCAGCACATCAAGACGGAAAATTAACAAGATGAGAGGTAAAGGGGAATAATTAATTTCAACTGTAATCGAAACCTAAACATAAGAAACATAATTCGAAAGGAGCAAGAAGATTAGAAATAACGCAATACTCAAGATATAAAGATTAAAGAGTGGTTTCAACTGTACTCCTGCGATCGATTTTCCAACATATTACAAAACATTCCTAATAACTGATTACAGTTATTGTGGAGGCCCAAATCAGAGAGTCTACAACTATTCACATTAGCAGTGGATGACTTCAGTAACTTATGCCATTTCGTCAACTGTTCGTTACTGGTCTGTTTTAAATCTATTATAATACCAGTCACATTTGTAAGTCGGGTTAGGTTGTGATCAAGTACACTCATATTGATATTGAAATAATAGATTTGTAGCTTACTTCTACCTAATTTTTTTCTCATGTTTTTCGGAAGAACACTGAAAGCTTCGCGACTAAACCACTGAGCTCAGAGAACGAAACTCCACCAAAGTTTGGCCAGGTTGACGCAACAGATGTTGTAAAACCCTTAGTCGATGAAGGTTCATAGTAAGGACAATCAATATTTTCTGAATACTAAACTGTTCTTTCTTGCTGAAATTGTTCACTACTGCTACTAGTATGACTGTTGGTTATGGCTGAAAAAGAACTGCTTTCTGCTACCTAGTAGACGGAACTAATAGCGAGTTCCACAGAAGTATGAACAAATAAAGTTTGTGTGAAACACCATAATACAGAATGTGCCAACATTAGAATTTAACAAAAACAGCCAAAAGAAATGTTTGTTCTAGGGTTATTTTTATGCAATATCAAATGTACTACAATTTTATCCATTTTATCGAAAACTAGAAACAACATACTTCTATCAGTAATTAACCACTATCCCTATTCAACCTCTCAAGGAAGGTGTAGAGGCAGAAAACATAAAAAAATTGTAAATAGGTACACTTATCAAAATTATCGTTCTCCTTCCTAATTTTGTCAAGGATAAATATCAGCCGAAGGACTAACACAGATCAAAAACTAAACACTTATGTAACTCTAATCTGGAATTTGTTAACAATGTGCAACCATGACCTTAAGAGGAATTTAGCTAAGAACTTTTAAATCACATGGTAAGCATATCGTGAGAATCACAGAAGGAAAAAGAAAGAGACGGTCTTATAAAATGTTTCTACAAAGTTTACTTGGTACATTCTTCGAAAAAGTCGAAATGATTACAAATGCGGTCTGACAGGGATTTGTTGAGTAAATAGTAAACATAAGATGGATAATATTGAATGTATTCAACATAATACACATAAAAAGTTTACTTGATAAAAACTATAATTATCACATGTTTCTAACATAACCTATAAATATTTAGAAGGAAAGCTTTGTTATAAATAAATGTACTAGAAGAATGAATTTTAATATAGATGAAATCAATGATCTTACTGTTCTATTATGTAATAACTCATTTTGTTATTATTAGTATTATTCATTTACTTTTGAAACCACCCATTTTGAGTGTACAAAAGCTAACTTCTCAACACATACAAATTATGCATTCATCTCAACAAATTTTTACACTCACATTAAAACCTTATCAAATTCAAGTATGTCAATCTAGTCGATTTACAGTTAAGAAAAATAATAAAATGATGAATTGATCTTATTCTTAATGTATCACATGCTATTCTCAACTGTGATCAGAAAAAATAATAATAAGAAGGATATCCAAAATGAACAAGACAAACACACATTTTGGTAAGACACATTGTTTCGATATCTGATAAGTATATTTTCAAGTACAGTCTTACAATTGGAAAAAAAAAAGTTCCAAAACAATAGTTACGTTTTTCCATGCACTAACATTTTATTGAAGCGTTAGGTTATGGGTAGTGTAAAATACAAGAAAGTGAAAGAGAAAATTGAAGAAGCCCATTTTTATCCAGCTTAGAACTCATCAGTTGAATGTAATTACAATCTATTGTTGATATGATAGGCATGTTGAAACTTGAACCAACTATCTACTGCTTTAAATATCAGAGGGCTCTATTCAAAACATCGTCCTCAATAAACAATTATGATCTATATTATTATATTTGTCATAGTTTGTGTCCTCCAGTAATTGATATTTACGACTAATTATTATCAGTCACTACACTATAAATATTGCTTTCCAGTGAATAAACAAATAGTTACAAATGATGCCTCAACTTGTCTCCTACACAAATACATACTAGTTTTAATTTGGCAAGCATGATCATTTAAAGCTATCTGACTGGTAGACAAGAAAGTGATCTTAATATGCAAAGTGTTAGTTGGTATTTTTACTTTACAATTAGATAACTTTAAAATCTGACAAATGTTGATCAAACATGATTATATATATACATATACATATCACTTATTAATTTGTATCATTTCGAGACCGAATAACTAGATTTCTATCATGTTCTTTGTAGGTAGTACACTTATGATGGTACACTATCGAACGGGAATAATCATAGTAGTTTTACGTGCAACTTGCTCAAACTTCCAGCTCGATTATTTCCTAACTTTGTAAATGTTACAAATTTTCCAGTTTTTAATTCATTTTAATTGACTAATAGTTCATGTTAACCGCCTAATATATATAGACAAATGTTTTGATCGAAACTTCCTAATTTAATACAGATAAATACTGATAAATTCAAGTTGAATTATCATGATTGTTGATGCATTTTTCTTCTCAAAAAGTGTTTGAATTGGAATTCATGCATCAAATATATCACGCAACGGAAAAAAAAACAAGTCATTAGAGTGAAAATGGTTAGAAACGTTTGATATTGCATGAAGGACATGATTTTTCATACATATAATTCGAATAATAATAGGTTAAATGGATATTAAAAGGAATTTCGCTGTAATATAACATATTTGCATTGAAAATTCTTCGATACAATTAAAATTATGGTTTTGAATAAAATTACTACTACTATTACTCAATAAACATAAGAAGTTTAACTGTGAAACACATCTTCATATATATAGAGAGAGTTCGTCAAGATTCTCTGTTTAAGTCTCAAAAAGGTTTGATAGGAATACTTTTGTATTTTATTTGAAAAAAAGATATCTACCTAGAGAGGAAAAAGATCAGTTGAAGTTGCAATAATACACAACCAAGATGGTTTTAGTACGAAAATCTGAATGTATATTCAAACCAAAAGGGTGAACAGATTTATAAGTAATTTTTTACAAAAAAATATTATATCTGGTAAAACGTAAGGTACAACTGATAGATAGAACCATCAAGTGAAACAGAACCGATAACTCCATGACATGAAATCAATGTCGTGTAACCAGAAAACACTTTAGTTGTGCTCCTTATGTATGAAATAGAGAGCACACTAATGAGTATCAAACTAGAGAAAATATTAGCTTTGCAATTCTTAGAGTTTCACAATAAAAACGAGGTCAATATGAAATTAAATCGAATATGACAAGTAAACTCTTCGTTACCACTTCAAAAGAAGCTTAAACTAACCTTCCTGTCACTGTGATTAGAGCTGCAGACACAAAAACTAGATAATAACCTGGATAGAAACCATGCCACATGGCTGATGCAACGAAAACTGCCCAAACAGCATAACGTTTTGGTACACGATCATATATACATTCACGCAACCAACGTGTTGTTGCTGTATTCCAAGAATCTATGATTGTTTTTGTACTTGTACCAAGCTTAAGAAAATATAAATAATCATTTCCTCATAATCAAATACATAAACTGTTTTAATATACTATAATCAATAAAAAGTTATAGAAAGAGAAACAATAGTGGCACGTAAAGCGAAGCATGCTTCAACAATGATTTGAAAGTACTTTTAAACGTGAATTGATATTAAAAGAAGAGTAGCTAAAATTACGTAAGCACTGAATAGGTGCTCTTCACTAAATTAAGACTTCACAGAAGTGTGCACTACAATGTAACACCATATAAGGTTAAAGGAAAGATTTATACACCTCATGGTAAACACAATACGTTGAAATTAAACTATGATGATCAAAACGAGAAGACAGTCAAAATAAAGATTCAAGAAAAATACTCATAAAATTGAAGGTCAACAAAACAAACAACCAGTTATACATGAAGAACTTCTTACAGATCATTTCTGTCTGAAATTTGGTTTGATGATATTGTCTAGAAAGACAAGAAAAGCTACTGACCTAAACTATCCAACTTAAAGAACACAAATTCACCAGAAATATTTAACTCGCTTAATAAGAATCAAATAGTTGTAGCAAATTATTGTGATGAGAAAAAATTTCTTTAAATTGTTTTATTTTTAATTATTTAAATATATAGACATTGGTACAAGGAGGCACCAAATACATATGCGCCACACAGATCTCATTTGATATGTGTGAGAGCTGTCATACTGCCCGGGCGCCCAAACCGAAGCAGGTGGTTTTCTTAGGGGGCCACACCCAGAGCCTTTGATCTAAAAGTCTGATCCACAAGACAGTGGAGCAACGTAAGGTGACGCAGTCACATAGTAGTCAGTGACCAACAATAGGTTCATACGCCATTTGTTCCCTCAGGATCCTGGAGCCAATGTGCACTATTTGTTTGAAATCAGGGTTTTCCAACTCCCCTGTACAGATCCTCCATGTCCACCGACCCGGTTAAAGCACCGAACATTCGCTTTTCGTCCTCTCAATTTCGTAGATAACACCCCCGCAACGGGAAGACAGTGAGTAAGACTTCCCTGGCAATGGTTGCATATATGTGGCCATGTGAGAGCATTTCGAGTGGGAGAGCTGACTCTCCTCACTCTTAGCCATACCAGGGCATTTCCAATTGTACACAATCCTCACAAAACTATTATGATTATGGTGACAAAAAGTAATAAAAATGGTAATAATAATATTATTGGGGTATTAGCAAATGATTGTGTCAATTTTCCCTATTTTTAACAAAACTAATAGTTAGGCAATAAATAGTTACACTTATAATCAGTGATAATTATAAAGGATAATGATAATAATAATGATTTTTAATGAAATACTGAATATCACATATCTACTAATTAGCATGAAACGAGTGATTAGGTAGTGTATTCTTAACTACATTACAATAAGATAATTAATCAATAGACTGACTACATAGAAAACTTTTTATTGTCATAGTGTCATCAGTGTCCGTAGGTACGGTATGAGCTTTGCACCTTCGAAGTGCAAAGTACTTTTACAAGACTGGAAGGATTCTAATCCTGTACTCACTTTGGATGGTGAGCTGATAGAAGTAATCGAGAAGTTCGTGTATCTGGGTAGCCACATAAGTGCTGGTGGGGGTGTGAGTGATGAGATCAATGCACGAATAGTGAAAACCAGAACGGTTTATGCCAATCTGGGCCATCTTTGGCACCTTCGTGATGTTAGTCTGGCCGTAAAAGGTCGGATCTACAACGCGTCGGTGAGAGCAGTTTTGCTCTATGCTTGTCAAACCTGGTCTCTCCGAGTTGAGGATGTTAGACGACTCTCTGTGTTTGATCATCGCTGTCTCCGAAAGATTGCTGACATCCAGTGGCAACACCATGTCAGTAATGCAGAGGCTCGGCATCGTGTGTTCGGGCACAGAGATGATCATGCAATCGATGTCACCATCTTGAAAAACCAACTTCGGTGGCTTGGACATGTTCTCCGAATGTCGTCCCAGAGAATTCCACGTCGTGTATTATTTGCCGACTCTGGGACTGGTTGGAAAAAGCGGAGAGGTGGTCGGTATATGACATGGTGTCGTGAGATGAAAGAAAGCTGCAAAGAACTGGCTTCTGTTGGTCCTTCACGACACCCGGGCTGGGGTCCGAGACATGGTGCTACACAGTGGCTAGAGACGTTATCAGATATGGCTCAGAATAGAAGCCAGTGGCGATCCTGCTGTAACCTTCTTTTACTTTCTTCATAAAAAGTGGTTGTGTCTTCCTTAACTGAAAGATTTCTTCGGATTGTACCGTTCCGTTGCCCCATTTTTACCATTGTTATTATTACACCACCTTACATCAGTCTCTTTGTTATTCTTTTTTTCATCTTTTTTTCCTTCACCTTAAATTCTCATTGTTTTGTGTGGCCCATATATATATTGGCGCTCTCTTGTACCAATATTTATGTGTTCAAATAAATAAAATAATAAATAAATAATGTCATCAGTTGATCCTATTAATAGTAGTACAAAAATGGGTAAATGATAATCACACAGTTGCGTTTACTTCTTAATCGTTAGAAATTGGATGCATTTTGTAAATAAGTAAAATCCAAGAACAAAAACGACTGAAAACTTATACAGTAAAAAAAAATAAAGGAAAGAATTTTTATCCATATCTTATTGATCTATTTTTCGAAGAAATCGTGACCTGAAGATTATTTACTGGTGCGATTCAATAACGTATCCAAATTCTACTTCAGTCAGTCAATCACAACGTAGAACTTGTACGTATGTACATCGTTTCAAATCGCCACACCCGTTAGCACACCGAGATGAAATTGTCAAACCAAATCACAGAATGGTAGACAACTAACAGTATCAGTGGTATTAGAAAACATTAGGCATTGAATACACGACTTGAAAATAGTATTTAAATTAGTGAAATAAAAACAGAAAAAATTATAATGAATTTACAATCTCAGGATTTATGAGAAGACAAAAAATGGATGCACCTGCTCTATTCCAAACGATTTTTAGCCATTTCATTCAAGGTCTCTAAACACTGGTTACAATAATCACGCGGAACCCAATCAAGTAGTCTATACTTATTTACATGGTCAATTCCAATTGTCAGTGACTTCATGGATTGATGTCATGTTTTAGTTTGGCCGCCTCAAGCCTTCTTCCATACTACTCCTGCACTAGAAAACATCGCCTGTACGGTATCGATTCATATAAGAACGTGACGGATCTTAATAATCAAGTATTGTTGATGGTAAAATAATTAGATAATCATTGAAAACTATAGAGCATCGGGTAGTCGTTTCACACATACTAGTAATAGATTTCTCAGTAGTGTGTACATTTGACACTAAGATTTTGTGGTGAATACATTAATTACACTTTGAGACCACCACCGCTATGTTGATATTCAACGGATCATAATCTAAACACATACACAAACTTGGATTTGTCCACGATAATCCAAGATTATATTTCATTTTCATTGGTGATAATTACCTCGCATTTGATATAAAATATTTTAAGTTTCTTTATAACATTCATCGTCCTGTAAACTCGAATGAACTATTCATAGAATTTCATAAATTCGATTCACGTAAATTGTACTGTTCATCTTTTCATAATCAGAACTGTTCTGCCTACTAAATACTTATTTATTGACAGAATATGTAAATATCTAACAAAGCAAGGAATGTCCTTACCTCAATAGGCAAAAAGTAAATATTAGTAGCCAGACGATATTCCGGTTCGCCTTCACTATTAAATCCAGAAAATCCAAAACCTGCGACTAAATTTGATAGACAACCTAATCAGGAAATAAACAAATAAGTATATATATATATAACTCGTCATACAGATGCATCAAGTCTAGGTAATTCACATAATGTTATTGATAAGTCCATAACTGATTCAAAAGTAAGTTGGAATCAAGTAGTTTGATTTATTTATTTGAACATATAAACATTGTTACAAGGGGGCACCAAACACATATGCACCACACAATAACGATGAGGCCAGTAGTAGTTATCACTCATTTGTGTGAGGGATGTGATAATGTCCGGGTGCCCAAACCGAGGCAGGTTGTCTTCTTAGGGGACCACGCCCGGAGGCTTCGATCTAAAGATCTAATCCACAAGGCAATGGAGCAACGTTAGGGAGCGCAGTCTCATGGTAGCCGGTGACCAACATAAGGTTCATACGCCATTTGTCCTCTCAAGGTCCCGGAGTCTATATGCATCATCGGTTCGGAATCAGGGTTTTCCAAATAACCTAGATGGACCCTCCGTATCCACCAGCCCGATTAAAGCACCGGACATTCACTTTTCGTCCCCTCAATTTCGTAAACAACAGTAACGCCGAGAGAAGACAATGAGTAGGACTTCCCTGGTAGTGGCTGTATATGTAAGGCCATATGAGAGCATTTCCAGAGAGCTGAAACTCTCTACCCTCAACCGTACCAGGGTATTTGGGAGCTGAATCAAGTAGTAATATTAAACAGCAGAAATACAACTGGATGCATTTAACAAAGTATATATTAGGAAGAATCATATGAATCCCACAAATTTCTACTCTAGATCTTAGATCCTGAGTAAATAGAAATTTAATCGATTCGTAATTGTGTTCTAAACTATAGCATCAGTCAAGAGTTGAAACTATGACAACTGAATCGTACCAGCTCATAATAATGAAATATATCATTAATGATTGGTCACTGACCAGCAATAGCTAACGTCAAGCTTGTCTACTGAAAGTAGAGTCCTGTCGATCAAATTGCAGTAAGGTTTATAAGTATTAACGTTGCGATATCGCGTACACTATATTTTGACATCAATGGGTTGAAGACAATCGGCACGGTCCGTGTGATTTGCGACTCTTCAGCAATATTGAGAGGAGTGATGTTCGAAACGTGAGATTCAAATGACAAATATGCCTAAGGTTTAGTTATGTTGACTTCATCTAACCATTTAGCATCAAAATACATATCTATCTTGAGGTAATGTATGAAGCTCAAGTGAACGCTATTGTTTGTATGGTGTTCTCTGAGTGAGACTGTTTAATTACGGGACTTTCATTGTCGTTCTGGATAAAATTAACTACCAATTATGTGTAATATCAGTTCTTTCTGAAACATTTGTTCCTGATCAATTATTCTGATAAATTTCGCTGTCTTCATTTGTTTTCCCTTTTATGGTGACTGGCTTGATTGGTTGACTTCTTACATATAGGTTATAAAAAAAACTGGAAAGCTCACTTTCACATGAAGTAGGCACTGATGATTTTGTTCAGAATAACAATGAAAACCCAGCAATTTAACTTTCTAGGCCAGAGAAAACAACACCAACATACCTATCTAATGGATGTAGGCAAATAAAGCTTCTGAAGTACCTATTTCTTTGGTCCAAAAGTTCATAACTGGAAAATTAATCTAATGTTTAAAATACAGTATCAAAGTTACACACCCAACTCTCAAAGTAAAATAAGAAAAAAACCGAGACAATAATTAAGCAAAGTCCACTAGTCACGGTGAAGTGAAAATTAATAATACTTACTAAGAGTCCAAGCAAAATAGAACTTTTGACGAAAACCAAAACATGCGATTGACAGGTAGATGAATTTTTGAAAGTAATTCTTTTTTGCAAAACTTTCAGCTGATGGGTAAAAAGAAAAGAAAATACGTATAGAAAAACTATAAATCACAATCATAATGTAAAATCAAGACGACAAGTGCGAAAATACTTCAAGGACTCTGCTGTTTCATTAAATGCATAATATGTCACTCAAATCTATCATCACAGTTACTTGATTACACACTTTTAGGATCGACTATATGTGACATTAACTGGATGTAAACAAATTAGAACACAACGAAGTGTGACACGATCGTACAAACATTGGGATTGTTTGAATAAATTCGCATGGACTTAACTTTCCTTAAACAAATAACTTCCTGAGAACTGAATTTTTCTGACTGTCATTTACATTATTTCACCATAAATACCTTCAAAGCATTGTTGTTCACGTATAGTGAAGCTACAAAGTTACTATATATAGTATACTGTTTCATGAAGTACTGAATTTCTATCGACTGAAATGATGATGAAAAGTATTGAATACACTTAGGTACAACATATTCCGAAGTGTTAAGCTAGTTAGTGTAGGGAGTATGATTGGAAAACTATTTTCAACCAATTGAAAAATATTTTACTGTTTATTATCACCTGAATCAGTCGTAAAACAGAATGCAAAAATGTTATGACGGAGGTTAAGGACTTATCGTTAGTGACGTCAGGAAACAATATTTATAACAATAATGTAACGAAATCGATACATATATATGAACTAGAAAGTGGCTTACACAGAAATTCCTCGGGTTTAAAACTATGAAAGGACCATAAGACTAATATAGAATGAAGGAGTAGAAGTTTCACCTGTTTCCATTTCTCTGCCTAAAGAAAAATAGGAACGAAAGGAAAAGTAATTTTTTTAATTAGAAAAAGAGAATGTAAATTTTCACATATTGGACATTAAATAAATCGCATCATACAGTTATTACCCAGACCACGGTTTTATATGATTTTTTAGGACAAGAGCTATCATAACAGCCAACACTAACCACTCAGTCATTATCAATGTAGTCTGTCACAAATGTCCGTTGGCCCATGTTGCCATATCACATTGTCAAGACGAGTTGAAAATAGCAAGATCAATGGCAAAAGAGGTCGAAATAATGTAGTGGTGATGATAGGAAAAAAAACTAAACATTGGTAATATGGTTTGGAAAGAAAGTGGAAATGTAAGTATGAAGGGATACTGAAATTCATGATTGAGAGGATGAATATATTTTGCTATTTCATTCAAAGTTCTCAACCACTGTCTTTGTTCAACTGCCGGTGACTTTATGGGTTGGTTTTATGTCGTGGTTCGGACTGCCTACCCCTCTTCAAACTCTTAAACCGAAATTGTACTAGGTAATCAGTGGTTAGGTATACGTAACATGTATTGAGTGCACCTCAAATCATAGACTTTCAATCTCACCAACCGACTACCCACCTTCGTCTAGTACCCTGTGCCCGACCTCAATGTTGCTTAAGCGATATATGAGTAATGTATTGAAGATAAATATGACCAAAAGCCTCCAACTTACATGTCTTCTAATTTTACAGCCACAGAGTAGTACAGAATGCAACGCTGCTCAATAAACCCGGGCTTCACTTATAAATAACATACTATAAATAGTGGGTTGTTGGAAAGAAATTCGTGAAATATTTTAAAGCCACCGAAGCAAGTATTTCAAGATGACACTAACTGAATCATCGTCACTGTCCTCGAACATATATTTATGAACCTTTGCATACTGACGCACTGTACAACAGATAGATTTGATTGTCTTTGGAAAGTCTGGAAATCGGTGTGCGCTGCATATTGTCAAGTTAGACATCATTATTATGGAAAATGTAATTTTTATTATGTTCTTTAGAATTCCTGTTGTACGCGATAGATCATTGGTTAGTCTACTTTAGTTTCAATCAATAAAGAGCGTATTTGAACCGTGTACAAACTACTTTGGTTTAGAAAACTGAGTAGTAGTATCATTAGCTTTCATAGAAGTGCGACTCAAAGCCGAGTATACATACTTATATTTGGCGAATGAATTGCACTATTTAATATATGCGGAGATCGAAGTTTGTGAGTTTACTTATTTATGTATTGCCATTAATTCATTGATTCTTCTGTACGATTATTCTTTCTTAATCCCAAGTGGCTGGGAACAATCTGTAAGAAGCTCTGGATATAAATTTCTGTTTAGTCGGCACTTATAAGCAAGTTGTATCAGCAGTCTTGAAGGAACTAATATTTTTCATGAGACTCAATCTTACATCAATGAGTCACATTAGAAGATGTAATCACTGAAATAATCGGACTGTAAAACTAACCATATATAGAGTTGGCATGTGTAAAGTGATTAATTATCTACTTAGTAGTAACCAATATCATGTATTGTTTAGTACGTAACAATAATTGAATTCTATCGACATGAAATGTTTGATAAGAAAGGAGATGAATAGTTAGCACAATAAATCGATTTAATGAGTTTAGAGACATATAAAACGAATCGACTACTGTTATTTACTTCATGTTAAAATTATTAAGTAAAAATAACGAGAGCGTAGAGAAAATTTTAAACAATAGACGAACTGCTTCAGTTTCGACGAATACTTATCAGAAGCGGTCAATCAGATAGATTTATTGACAGAAACTTAACACTAAAACTACAAATTGAAAGATCAACGGCAGTTCAATAGAAAATAAATTTTAAAATCCTTGAGCAAGACTTTATACTCAGCTGAGCTTCGTATTGTCTTCATAACTCGGGCCACCATTCATGGATGTATCAAGAGTACACTTTCGTTTAGGGTCACAACGATGTGCATCTAGAAGCTTACTTGTTCTTGCGGAGCAGGTCACATAGGCTGCACAAAACAGACCCTTTATAAACACACTGCAGGGTATTACTCGGTATGACTTTTAGGAGAGGAATTTAAAACACTGAATAGTTACGTTGCCCCAAACAAATCTTCCTTCAAAATAATCTACATAATGGAAAGAATAAGATCAAAGGGAGGTCGGATTAAGAACTTACGTACTGCTGAGGCACTGGCAATTCACCAACTGATGCTTGAACTCTATTTAAAAGTAACATTTTCAAACATTTATACTTCCATGGCATTAATGTCATTTTCCTGTGTGCTTTAGTCTTGTTTATGTTTTGATTTCTATTTTGTACAATTCATAAACCGCAATCGGTTATTACTATTCTCTAATACTTTCTTATGATTACCATCCAATTGTTATTATGACCTTAGAGTTTTTCATTTTTCGTCATACATGTCAAGTGGACAACTATCTTTTATAATTCGAACCAGTAAATTATTTTCACATTGCTTTCTGATGTAATCTCTTTTTATCTTCCTAAAGACACATATTTGGCAAACAACTATAGACACAAAAGTACAGTTTGAGTAAACGATTTTGTCTAGAAGATAATTCTCTTTACTGAATTCTTGCTATTTTTATTTAGTGATACAATGGGTTGCCTTAATTTTTTCCTAACTTAATCTATTATACGGTAGATATGTTGAAACAAATAAAACTGTATGTAAAGTGGACAAATGTTCACAATCAACTTTACTATTAATAGCAGTGCCGTAATACATACTTTTTTCATGATAACTTAATTACAATGAAACAGTAATAGCTGGAACATTTTGCGCATACTTACTTTAGCGGAACGTATCGCCTCCTTGTTATCCTCCTAAATTTAGAAATATATATTAGGTGTTACAAATAAAATAGCACAACAAAACGTTAGGACACCAATAGTCAGCAAGTTTAACCCTAAAAATCTTGCAGAAACGGAATTCGAGAATCTCTAGGCGACACATTAAATATTTTACGGATTATACATGACTTAAATACGATAGAAGACTAGTAACTGCACACATGATCATACTTTATGTCTGTTAACTTGTTTAATGATATTTATCATTTCAATAGTAAACATTCAATGTACTGTATAAACATTTGAACACATTTTACTTTTTATTTTTATGTTATAGCTTACTGAAATGACTGATTGTAGGAATAATCAATTAGTGATATACACGACAAACTTCAAACCATAGTTGCTACCTTGAGGTGGTCAGCAATGACTGTTGACATAATCTAATCGATCTAAATTGATTGGAACGCTAATCCGTTGATATTTGACCGCCTGCTACGTTAGCATAAATATTAGGCAAAATTGAACCTTTTAAACGATCCTATATGAAGTTATGGTTTATAATTTTTTTGATGAGTATTAAATACTTAAACTTATATTTTTGTATTCCCGTACTTGCAAACTTTTGTTTGACACGCAATCTATAATTGCGTGTCATACATACTGCAAGTTACTGTTAATTTATCACGGACTTATCACTTAATTCTCTTCCATTTAGGGGACATTCGTGAAAATATTTCAGTTTCTTGATTTAGTTGATATGTGCTCGGGATTTTGTTCTATATAAGTGTGAGTGATTCATAAATTTGAACTGCACAATTAGAAGCTATTTACTTGCCGAATTGTATTCTATTCAGGCCATCGGAGTGTTGGAAACTGTCAGTCAGTCAGTAACAACGTATAACTTCGTACATACGCACATCAGTTCGAGTTGCCACACCACATTAGCACAGAGATGCACTTGTCGATTCAAATCCCGTAGTGGTAGAGGTAGCAAGAGTATAAGCAGTAATCGGGAAGATTAGGGTTTGGAGATGTTATTTAAAGAGTATAATCCAGTGAAATAAATTTGGAAAGAGGAAAAAAGGGACATGAAGGATTCAGAAGATTAGAATTTGGGAGAACACAGAGAGTGGATGCACCTGCGCCATTGCAAACGATTTTGAGCCATGTCATTCAGGGTCTCTAACCATCGGTTGCTATCATCTCGCGGTCCCCAACCAGGTAGTCTACACCTACCAACATGACTCAGTTCACTTGTCAGTGACTTCATGGACTTGTGCCATGTTTTGGTTTGGCCGCCCCTAGCTTTCTTCCAACCTACTCCTATACCACTGAACATAGCACGTCGAGGCAGTCGGTCGTTGGGCATACGTAACACGTGTCCCAGCCATCTCAACTGATGAAGTTTCACTACTTCATCAATTGATTTGCCATCCTTACCTAGTACCCGTTTCCTAACAACTGCATTACTTACTCGATGGTCCCATGATATACGAGCAATATTTCGAAGACACCTATGATCAAATACTAGTAACCTACGATATCCTCTACTCTTACCGGCCATGTTTCACTGCCATAAAGTAGGACGGAACGAACTGCTGCGCAGTAAACACGTCCTTTGGTTGATAGACGGATATCTCGCCTACGCCATAAATGACGCAAGTTGGCAAAAGCTAGTCGAGCCTTCTGTATCCGTGCTGAGATTTCGTCACACACCAGACCACAAGGGCTGATGAGACTTCCAAGATAAGTGAAGCGGTCGACACACTCAACTACTTCACTCCCTATCACTAGTTCGGGTGTCGATGTAACCCAATCCTGAAGCAACATTTTGCATTTCGAGGGAGAGAATCGCATCCCGAACATGCTTGCATTGTTGCTTAGAGTGGTCAGAAGACTCTGCATTTTGTCAGCGTCTTCACCAAATAAAACTATGTCATCAGCATATTCTAAGTCAACAAGTGAACCTCCCGGTAGAAGTTCAACCCCTGGAAATTTAGATGAGGAGAGTGTTATCTCTAAAAGTACGTCAATGACAAAGTTGAACAAGAATGGGGAGAGTGGACAGCCCTGACGAACACCACTTGAGGTAATCAATTCTGATGACAGTTCGCCATAAGCTCTCACTCTACCAGTTGTGTTCGAGTAGAGAGCCTTTATAAGGTTAATGTACTTCTTTGGTACTCCTTTCAGTGACAAACACTGCCATAGAACCTCACGATCAACCGAGTCGAATGCCGCCTTAAGGTCGAGAAATACTACCATTGTGGGGCGTCTGAATGTGTGTCTGTGTTCTAGAACCTGACGTAGTGTGAATATCTGATCTATACAACCACGTCCAGGTCGAAAACCGGCCTGGTTTTCTCTAGTCTGCTCTTCACGAGCTTTGATTAGGCGTCGAAGTATTATTGAAGCTAATATTTTAGACACTATATTAGTCAAACTGATTCCTCTGTGATTGTCACAAGAGGACTTTTGTCCTTTCTTATAGACTGGCACAATCAGTGATTGAGACCAGTCAGATGGGATTACGTCCAGTTCCCAAATTCTACCTAAGACCTCGGTTAATCTCATTGCTAATACTGGACCACCATCCTTAAAAATCTCAGGAGTAAACCTGTCAGGGCCTGCTGCTCTCCCTCGTTTCAGATTTCCTATGGCTTTTTCAACTTCGTAAAGGGACGGAGGACCTACATTAACTTGCCATTCAGGTTGACTGGAGATCGTGGGAAACCGAAGTGTGGCTGAAGGCCAGTTGAACTGATCCCTAAAGTGTTCTGCCCATCGATCCAATCTCCTGGATTGAGAATGAATAATATGTCCATCTTTCTCTGAGATTGTTTCGCTAACGGTCGGGTTCCTAATTCCGGTTTCCTTAACGAGTCTGAACAATTGTCTGCTATTACCTATTGCCGCTGCCTTTTCCATCTCTCTTGCTTTCGCTACCCACCACTGTTCGCGATCATTGCGTAGACTTCTTGTCAGCTTGCGCTTAAGCTGACTCCGCTCTTCATTATGTTCAGAGCCAGGTGGAATGAGTTTCCGAGCATCTATCAGTGCGATAGATGCTGCTGAGATCCAGTGTTGCTCCCTAACCTTCTGGTTTACCTTACTAGCAGATATCACTGCTGTTTCCACAGCTTTTCGGATATCATTCCATGCTGCATCGGGGTGGGCATCACATACATGGCTGCCTAACTGTTTTCCTAGTTGTTCCTGAAATATACTCTTAGCTTGACTATCATTAAGTAGGCCCTAAGAGGTTTCCTTGCAGCGTCTTTCCTACGTCCAGTAAGACGCAAGCAAATACGCGCTCGCACTAGAGCATGATCTGAATCTAGGCATGTGCTCCAGAATGAGCGACAGTCTTCTATCGAGCCCCTCCATCGGTGGCTGATAGCGATGTGATCTATTTGGGTCCAACGTTGGGACGAATTAGGGGGTCGCCATGTTAAAAGATGTTTTTCCTTATGCTTAAAGTTAGTATTTGCAAGGAACAGGCGGTTATCTGAGCATAGCTGCAACAGACGGTCGCCATTATCTGTTCTTTGAGCCACGACACCATAAGATCCACCTAGGTGTCTTTCCCTATCGCTTAGTTTACCTACTTGAGCATTAAAGTCACCGGCCACTATTACTACATCCGAGCGCCTAGCTTTTCGGAGAAGGTCCGAAAGCTTTCTGTAAAACTCATCTTTTACATCATCTGAGCTGCAGTCAGTGGGAGAATAGGCAGAGACGACGAAGAGGCAACGACGAGTGTCCCTATCTTTCCGGATTCTTACTGTTCCGTTCAGTCGGACAGCGCACAAACGACTGTCTACTGGGATCCACTCTAAGAGAGCTAGTTCTGCCCTAGGACTCAATGCTATACCTACGCCGGCGAGGCCACGGGAAGCAGAATCAGGGCTTCCAGATACACGAAGCGTAAATCGAGTCGGTTCTTTATTTTGGCATGGTGAGGTCAAATGAATGACGCTACTTGGATCCTGTATGCGCGTTTCGGAGACGCAGCACACATCGATGGCGCGAGATTCTAAAGTTTTAGCTAAGGAAGCCTGCTGTATTCTGGATCAATAAGTCATCTAGTGTTACTCTTAGCTCTTATCTCACATTTATCGTACCATTAGTTAGCCGCAGGTCATTGGTACTAGATAGCCTCAGAGAGCTAACCAGTACTCGGATTATATCAATACCACTGCTCACTTGTCCTATGGTTCGATCTCATGGACCTCGAACAAACTAAACAAAAAAATCTGTTTATTTTCTCAAACATCACTATCCCGAGCAAATTAATTGGATAGCAAGCAGCTACTTTGAGGAACGAGTGCAACAGTATACTACCATTACAACTGCGGAATGAAAGTAGTGAGATGTTCCCCAAGAATAACTGAGAATTCTGTCAATGTCACCTTCCTAAAAATTAAAAAAGAGGAAACATAAAGCATTGATACTAAAACAACACACTGCTTTTCTCCACAGGATTTCCAGTTTGGAAAATACGAGTCTTTTCGGGGTTTTCCGGAATCTGGTATATCAGAAACCACTTACAAAGCGTCGTGGACTAATGACCTCAAGTAGCCATCCCTTAGGTACTGCAAACACGCTCCCAGGTGGACACGGCCTCTATTACTTACTCTCATTTTTCCTTGCAGATCATTGAAGAACCATCCTACTTATGACCTTGACAGAACTCGAGTTCATACAACTGCTATTTTTTAAAACTGTAAACTAATTACTCCGGGGATATCAATATTTACGTCCGAAACTTTTGATTATTGACAGTAGTATAAAAATCTATTCTCTAACAGCAATGCTTAGTATTGATTTTTCTATGGATTATTATGTGACTAAAAGGCATAGAGAAATTACATAGTAACTAACGGTTAGTGGAGAATATATTTCATTTGACTGACTAACTGACAACTAATTACCCACATGTATAGTAATTACCTTTACTGTAAGCGCTGAAAACATACTGTTACGACGAGTATCAAATTTTAAAAGACTTAAAAAGTGGATATCGATTTCGGCTAATTAGATTTCCAATTACTAAACTAAATGAACATAAATGAAAAGGCGACTACGCTTTGTAGAACTTACGAATCGCTTTTTATCAGTTTCATCGAGGAGCTGATCTGATTCTTGACCCTGAATAAATCTCATGTAATCAGCAAAAAAACTGAAGGGGCCAATCATTACATTATGAAATGAGAATAAATATCCACCGAGCTGGAGAAGACGAGGTCGACGTCTTAAGAAAATATGCAAAAAATAGTCAAAAATATTGAATTCTGAAGAATTGAACAATTACTTTTATCACATACCATTAGTACATGGTTACAACCTGAATCAACATGTAATTACTGCATTAAAATTAACGTATTATCCCATACTTGTGGATAGTAGTACGCTTAATTACAGAAAATCTAATGTACCAAATCTGTTGTTTCCAACAGTCTACGGAAACTAAAAGGGCAAAGATGACTATATATATATATATATATAATTTCACCCTTGCTAAATTCTTTAAAAAAAATTAATGACAGTATAGATTATATTTGGACTTGATTTTCCGAAATGTATCACGAAAACCGAATAATAAGGATCGTACATACTATTTACATAAACATTAGAACGTAATAACTTATACTTTCAAAAAACATATCTATTAATTTCAGTCAAGCGGTAGATTAAAGGACACACAAATTTCTCGCAAATTGACTGTGTTTGGATGTTTACTGTAACTACTCTAATGTCAGCGAAACTTCGGTTTAGAAAGACAAACACTCGATAAAAATTTATTTATTTATTTCAACACATAGATAATGGTACAAAGAGGCACCAAAGACACATGCGCCACACAAATCTCATTCGATATATGTGAGGGCTGTGATGCCGCCAGGGTGCCCAAACCGAAGCAGGTGGTTTTCTTACGAGGCCACACCCCTAGCCTTCGACCTGAAGGTCTGATCCACAAGGCAGTGGAGCATCGTGAGGAGATGCAGTCCCATGGTAGCCGGTGACCAACAATTGGTTCATACGCCATTTGTTCCCGCAGGATACTGGAGCCCATGTGCACCATTGGTTTGTGATCCGGTTAAAGTGCCGGACATTCGCTTTTCGTCCTCTCATTTTCGTAAACAACATCCCACCACGAGAAGGCAGTGAGCATGACTTCCCTGGCAGAGGCTGTATACGCGTGGCCGTGTGAGAGTACAAGAATGTACGAAGTGAGTTATTTATGCTTTGTATCGTACACCGTGCGAAGCGAATAGTAACAGTATACAACGCGAATGTATTGATTAGTACACTGAACCATAAGATGCGTATTTTGATAGTCAATCTTTATTCATGCGTGGAACCAAGAAGAAAAAATTGCATGTTCCATGCTAAATGAGATACTAAAGACACTGGATGGGCCTAAAGTCCTAAATATGGATTTTCGTAGGCTTTATCACGTCTCTAAACTTTACAGTTAAAACCATGGGCAACATATATTCAGTCTATAAGTTAGGAGTAACGAAGTGATAAGTTAGGGCCCCCAAATGCCCTGGTACGGCCAAGAGTGGGGAAAGTCCACCTAACCTCTCGAAATGCTCTCACATGGCCACGCGTATATACCTCTGACAGGGAAGTCTTACTCACTGCCTTTTCGTGGCGTGGGTGTTGTCTACGAAATTGAGAGGACGATAAGTGAATGTTCGGTGCTTTAACCGGGTCGGTGGACATGGAGGATCTGTACAGGGGAGTTGGAAAACCCTGATTCCAGACCATTGAAGCACATGGGCTCCAGTATCCTGAAGGAACAAATGGCGTATTAACCAACTGTTGGTCACCGGCTACCATGGGACTGGATCGCATTACGTTGCTCCACTGCCTTGTAGATTAGACCTTCAGGCCGAAGGCTCCGGGTATGGCCCCCTAAGAAAACCACCCGTTAAGGTTTGGGCACCCTGGCAGTATCACAGCCCTCGCACACATGTAATGAGATCTGTGTGGCGCATATGTATTTGGCGCCTCCTCTTATCAATATCTATGTGTTAAAATAAATAAATAGAAACAAACTATACGTGTCTAGAAATATATCAACAAGAAAAATCACACAACTTGATGTGGAATCGTTACTGAAGCCTCATGACGGAAAATATGCTGACATTCGAACTTTTTCCTACCTAGTAGACCGAAGGACTAAGATATCAGATGACTTTCTTACAGAGTAATCCAAGATGCATACCAAAAATATACGACAGACATTTCATTTGCAACCTGCATTAAAAACAATTTGACAATAGACTCACTCAACGGCATGAAGCTTGTGGTATTCTTGGTCAGCTACTCCTTTATTTGACAACTTTACTCCATCATTGATGTTAAAAGCCAAAGAAGACAGCTTTTGAGTTTGCACCATCAGAGCCCTGGAAGCAATCTATCAAAAGTAGCGACATACGCAGAGATATCAAGTCGAGGGTTATACATACACTGTGAATATGTACTGAAGATAAATATGCCATTGAGAAAACTAAAATGCCATACTGAGCAACAGATGATGGAAGAAAAACCATCATCAAGTATGCCGGTATGGCTTGGGCAAGCATATGAACAACTAGACTAAAAAGACTAAATTATTCAAAGGAAATTACGGTCCATAAACAAGATACATCATCAAAAATCCGCTGACAAACTCAAAAAGGTGACGGCGCATGGAATTTTCTGTACATGGTGGTATGCATTTCTGCATTACACAGCCTGATAATAGCGTGAAAAGTTGACATATCACGAATGTCCACTAAATTTCGTATGGTCATATTATGTAAAAATTACATGTTCCGTATCAACGACAGAGAAGTATCGGAAAGCACTCATGAAAACAGGAAAACGCGAAAGACATAGAGCGCGGGCAAAGCAAACACAAAGTTTATGTAATTTAGCCTCACTAAACGCATTCAAACGCCAACATTTTCAGATTCAGGTTTGTGTAGTAAGGATAAAAGGCGTACAGTCTGTTTTATTCCTTCTCTACTGTTTTTTTGCAAGTGTCTGGTTTTCTCTTAAATGAGTCAATCGTAGGTGCGGAAAACACTGCTTCGTGTAACAGGTTTCAAGAATTTATGACTCGGTGTGAGAACCTGTAAGCCACGGGTATTTTGTTCGTTCTTGGCTTTTACGCTCGCCTTTTATGTCCTCTAATATGTAACGATCTAGCGAAATGGGAAAGAGAGTACATATTACGTCCAAAATCATTTCTTATTATTCCATGCATCAAAATCAGGTCACCTCTTAAAGTTTTTCAAGCTGCCCGGAGTTCTGGGATTGCATGAGTAGCTGTTCTCTGTACGTTTTTCAGGATAAGTGAGTGACCTTTTAAACAGGGGCTTGTAGCCTGAACTAACTTTTCAATCTTAGTTTTCACTAAGGTTGTGTATATTGTAGTGATCATGGTAGTATGTAACTCAGTAAATGTTCGTCTTAAAGGCCAGAGGGTCCTAAACCAGTTAGCTGAGACCTCCCAGCAATGGCATTTCACCTTTACTGTATCTATCAATCTTTGTATCCCCAAAATGCATGCAGAAACACTTTACTATGTTGGTAAGCATCAGCCACTCTTAAGACAAGTTAACCAATTTATTTAAGTCTGCCTGAAGAATGCTTGCGTCTGCGTCTCCAATTATTACTCGCCAGACTTTTACATCGTCAGAGTATAATAACATTTAGGACAGTACTATACTTTGGAGTTCATTTACGTGCAGTATAAAATGTAAAGGATTTAGGACAGAACCTTGAGTTACTCCACTAAGCACTGGTGTCCAGGTGAATTTGTAGTGGCATTGGACAATAACCGCACAATCCACAAAGCTGAACGCGAGACTACTCAGAAAATAGATATTCAATATTTAACGCGGATAAATACCTAACGATGGAGAAGGCGCGAACAATGAATTGAATGGACTGGAGTTGATCGTATGGCATGGCTCGGCCATGCAGGCGTGGTCCATCTGAATGTTACTTTATATCTTCTATTCATATTAAATATATTGTTCTTTCTCTAGCCTAACCTTGTTCTACATCATGTATTGGTAATTGATACGATACAGTGAGTTGGTGTAGTCGATGGTGTGACTTCCACGTAAGATCTTATAGATTAGGCAGTTATATCATGACAAATCTACAAATTTAGGATTAGGTCTATTATTAGAGCAGTACTAATATCATAGTAGACCATAGTTCTACATTGGTGAGCCCAACTAAAGAAACGCAACCTGTTATTGTTAATCCTTATTTCCACCTTAACCTTCTCAATCGGTTTTTATTTTTGTAAACCCAGTATTCTAATAGTCCTTTGATTAATGGTCACATATATTATCGTAATGTTATATCTATTAGTTCACATAACTTACTAGCTCAATCGATAATAGAAGTTGATCATCTATATTAACTAATTAGCTTTGATGGTTCGTTAACAAGCTTTAATAGCATTTACCTGCTTCAGCAACATAGACTTGTTTAAACATCAAGCTCTAGCAAATATGACCTGTTAATAGCGTAAATATACATTGACTAACAATGTAATCAAGGACTAAATACTTATCTGGATCTAATTATCAGTGTTCCTCCACCTAACACCTCATCCTGTTTTAAACTATGCACTATCCTGTAATATCTTTCTTCTGACCACTGCCTGCCTAATTTCATATTTGCGAGTTCCATTGCCAAACAACAAGGATGACAATTCTCCAAAAACATACGGTGAGTTTCAGCTATAGGTTTTCTGCAATCATAAGGTCATTTTAGATAACTCGTTCAATGGCGACCACACTAGTAACTGGATTCATTCAATTGTTCTGATTCGAGCGAGTGGCAAAAACGTCAACAGCATCAAGCTTCCCGGAATTAATTGCCATACTGCATGTTTTATTCTGGATACTTTTGGATCATTACTACTCCTCACGAATGTCGTTATATATTGTCGTCCACTGAATAATCTACTTTTCAAAAATAATCCAGGCGAGTTCAACTATTTTACTTAATGATTTTTTCACTTAACATGTATATATTTTCCAGTTACTTCTGCCACATATTTGTAATTGTCCCTAGGTTAAATGCACTAACTTTTGGAAAATTTATAATTCTTCATATTCCTGCCTGAAGTTTCACAAGCAGTCTAAACTTTAAAATTATTTTCTGGTCATGTTCATTATTTTTAAATCGTCATATACGTCAACAACCTACATGTTAACCTGGCCCATACATACGTTACACTATATCTCCATGTCTTCTAAATTTAGAAATCATCTGGATCGCCTTTAACATTTATCAATAAACCCATCATAGTCGTTGTTGCTAATCGTATTTGGATTTATGGATTAGTTTATCATATTAGCAGCCTAAAATGCGAACATAGTTTAAATAATAAGATTAAAAATTTAGGTACTATCAACTGCACTAGTAAAATAACTAAATCCCCAGGTAGCTGTTGGCTAAATAAACGTTTAAAATCAAAACTCCGTAGCCTACTAGAATTAACACTAAACGAATATTTCTGGATTGACATTTATAATTAAATTAGGCGTCTCGGATTCTTTAACGTTATAAATTTCTGATGATTTCGAATCACCTAAAGCAACAATACCTATTTTTCCACTGACTAATCCTCAATCAACACTATAACTAGTTAAATTTAATAGTTTCAGGATATCGTCATAAAGCATTGTCATAACTTGACAATCACGTAATGTGATTGATAATATTGATGAAACTATTAACAAAATCGGTCAGCAAATTGACTTATAATTATCACTAGTGTTGTTTTTCTTTTATCTTCATTCACTACAGATGATTACAGTATGTTTCTCTATCAGTTGCTCATTCAGTAAATATCTCAAAACCTTGTCAGTCTAATTGGTGGTTTAGCGACACAATCATGCATGCAAATATTCAGTATAAGCAGTCGAGCAAATCTCCTGCAAACTGAAAACATCAATGTCGAATTTACCCCAACACTGACTAAGGTTCAAGCCATTATCATAGACATGAGTTGGGAGTGTACTCCCCTTGGTTACAACTTATGTTCTCCCTGATAATCACATGAGCATCACTCACTATTAATCATCTTGTAAAAACTTATTTAGCCAAATACATCTTGCAGCACCACATCACCTAGTAATGTGACACATAAGCTGATTTCAATAACTTATAACCACTATATCTCAATTAAATCGTATTCCGCCTTATGATAAACTGCATACTTGCAACTAACTTGTATGCGTCATCAGCCGTCAGGTATAAATATGTATAAATAGACTATGGCAACTCAGAACATTGAGTCTAGAGCACGTCTCTTACGAATACACTCATGTTTAACGATTTGTTCTTAGCTATCTGTCCTAAACTCATAATTATCACTTACGTATTTAAATTTTGTTTTGATAACCATTCATGTGTATTAGTAGTATTACTAAATTCTATCACGGTCAAATAAAAATGAGGTTGAGAAAATCTCCCCGTAACTAAATAAACCGTATCAAACTAACTGGAACACTAGTTGGAATTCTTCTCCACGGTAATACTTTTGTTCTTTCAGTTAGCCTACTAATACAAATGCAATTGAAAATCAACTCATGGACAACTTATTAGCATGAACGTTATTTGATCTTATAATTTAAACCAAAACTAATACCAATATCAACATTTCTACAATATTAATTGCTTTTAATATTTCGAAACACAAAATACTTACTACCTATACGTCAAGTTACTAACCAACGGCTATTAACACGCATCACTTTATTATTATTATTGTAATCCCATTTTTTATAGCTCAAATAATCTTCACCCACATTTTCATTTTAAGCGTGTTAAGCATGAAGGCAGATATTTTAAAAATTATTACATGTATTTCCCGACCAGATGCTGCTGCATTCTTTTTGATTTACCTTTCAGCTTATCATTACCCCGGGGGATTCCTCCTAGTCTTGGTAACCTTCGGCGCACGACAATCCCATCCAATTCGGTATCGAACCAACATCACGTTGATTCTGGTGGGAGAGTAGTGTAGTGGCATTGGACAATAACCGCACAATCCACAAAGCTGAACGCGAGACTACTCAGAAAATAGATATTCAATATTTAACGCGGATAAATACCTAACGATGGAGAAGGCGCGAACAATGAATTGAATGGACTGGAGTTGATCGGATGGCATGGCTCGGCCATGCAGGCGTGGTCCATCTGAATGTTACTTTATATCTTCTATTCATATTAAATATATTGTTCTTTCTCTAGCCTAACCTTGTTCTACATCATGTATTGGTAATTGATACGATACAGTGAGTTGGTGTAGTCGATGGTGTGACTTCCACGTAAGATCTTATAGATTAGGCAGTTATATCATGACAAATCTACAAATTTAGGATTAGGTCTATTATTAGAGCAGTACTAATATCATAGTAGACCATATTTCTACAAATTTACTCAAATTTACTATTACTTTCTGCCCACAACCTACTAAAAAATCCTTAATCTATTTTTAGAGAGGTCCGTCAATGCTAAAATTTTCTAGCTTCAATAGCAGTCTATTTTTGCCACATTGTCAAGTGCCTTACTGAAGTCTATGTAGACGACATCCACTGAGATTTCGTTGTCTAGAGCCTTTAACCCTTGATCCGTTGCTATAAGGAGGTTCGCTGTGTAAGATAAACCCTTTTTGAAACCATGTTGTTCTCTGTTTGACAAGTTGTTGTTTTTCTCACAAACGTCATTATGGTCTTTTTGACTATTTTGACATTATTTTAACCAAGACATTGGTGAGGCTGACAGGTCTGTAGTTCGATAGATGTTGTCTTGCTCCTGTTTTATGTATGGGAGTGATGATTTCACCTTGGTCAAGTAACATATTGGATATCAGTTAGTGGGG